AAATAAGTCTTTCTGAGTTTTCGTATTCCGAATCCCACCAGGATACCGGATTTCTGTGAATATTATTATTAACGGCTTTCATTACAGGAGTCTTAATAGTGCTTAATAAGGCAAGCTACACTTTCGGTAAAAATGGAGTATTTAGCCTTAGTACGTAATTATTTTTCAAGTTAGACGCGATTTTCTTGCAATCAGTACGAACTTTAATATTAAATATATATGTACGAGGGTCGTTTGAAAAGTCCGTGCAAAAATAAAAACTGCTTGATTTTTTTAATAAATCTTTTTTATTTTTCAACATAGTCTCCTTTTAGGCTTATACATTTCATCCAACGCTGCTCTAGTTTGTTAATCCCTTCCAAATAATAGGATTTGTCCAAGTCTGTAAAATAGGCATTCGTTTCTGCAATCACCTCCTCGTTTGAATAAAATCTTTTTCCCACCAGCATTTTTTTTCATATTAAGGAACAAATAGTAGTCCGACGGAGCCAAGTCTGGAGAATAGAGGGGATGTGAAACGAGTTGGAACCCTATCTCCATCAGTTTTGCGGCCACAGCTGCTGAGGCGTGAGCTGGCACATTGTCGTGGTGGAAAAGGACTTTTTTGTGGGCCAATCGTGGACGTTTCTCTAGCAACTCGGTTTTCAAAGGATCCAATAACGATGAATAATATTCGCCTGTAATGGTTTTACCCTTTTCCAGATAGTCGATGAAGATTATTCCTTGCGAATCCCAAGAGACAGTCGCCATAACCTTTCCGGCCGAAGGAATTGTCTCCGTCTTTTTCGGAGCAGATTCCCCCTTGGTAACCCATTGTTTAGACTATTCTTTGGTTTCAGGAGTATAGTGATGTATTCATGTTTCATCTACAGTGATGAAACGACGCTTAAAGTCTTGCGGATTTTGCTGGAACAGCTGCAAACCATTCTTGCAACACTTCACACGATCTCGTTTTTGGTCAATCGTGAGCAATCGCGGCACCCATCTAGCGGATAGCTTTTTCATGTCCAAATGTTGGTGCAAAATATTATGTACCCATTCGCTCGAGCTGCTTACAGTACTAGCAATCTCACGCACCTTCACTTTTCTGCCAGCCATCACCATATCATGGATTTTATCAATGATTTCTGAAGTGGTAACCTCAACAGGGCGTCCAGAACGTTCAGGGTCTTTTGTGCTCATATGACCACTCCGAAAATTTTGAAACCACTTATAAACCATTCTAATCGAAGGTGCACCATCACCATAATGTTTATCAAGCTTCTGTTTAATCTCCTGAGGCGTTTTGTTTTTGAAAAAATAATGTTTAAGGGGGTATCCTGCTTTGGAAGGCCTAAAAAAACCGTTTTTTAGGGAATTTTTTTAAGATAGAAAAAAATAACCAACTTCAGCAAACTTTCAGGAATATTTTAGTATATAATTGAACATTATAAAAAAATTTTTTTAAAGAAAAATATCAAAATGCAGCCGATTTGTTGCAGACACATTTGTTGGGCAATCCGTAATCCGAGTCTTCTATTGGCGGGAGTGATAGAGCTCTTAATTTTGATCTGAAGCAGAAAGTCAAAAAATTATTTCATTTTCATACATGTATTTTCTATTTGAACCATGAAAAATCCGAAGAAATTGTGAAATTTAAAATTTTTTCCGAATTTGAAGCAAAAAGTGTTTTTTACGAGAAAAAAAAATCTCTTCAATGTGCTGAAAAAGTCTTTTAGAAATTTATTTCCAAAAACCTTTTTAGTTCATATAGGAGAGTAGATAAAACTGAAGCTAAAAAACTTCGGATCGTTACGATAGCTTATTTATTTTTTTGCAAACACGCCCGCAAGTTTAGAAAAAGTGGAAAAACGAAAACTCGAGAAAAAGTGCTTTGAGTTTATGAACTGGAAAAATGTTAATTTTCGACTACTTACGGCAATCATTCGCTAATAAGCTATTCCTGCGCCATACAATAGACCTTCAGCTTCCTCATGGAACTCATTTTGTTGAGGTTGTTCAAATCTACGGGCCGTACGAGCTTCCTTACTGGAAAGAGACGAACGTCGTCTTTCTCGTTCAATCCGTTGTATGTCAACATTATCCGCAAACATTTTACATTGCTGGCCAATTTTCAAATTGAGTAATTGTATGTTATGCAGAACTGCTGAATGTCCTTCATTGAACATTCCTGCAGCCATATACGCAGTAATTTCTACGATTTTTTTACCAGAATTGAGATGTTTCGGAGTTATGCGCCAGACAGTGGAGTTAAACGATTCGTTCGAATTTTGCGTGTGTCCACCGAAGCATCACGTCATGAGATCGTCATTCGAAAGTTCTTCGTAGATTGAACGAATATGTTCCTCCACTTTTTCGTCAATCAATCGAGCAGAATGTTTGAACAATACTGATCCAGCGTTGCCATCACAGCTTTTTTCATATCATGGACAGAATGAATATTCCTTCGAATTGCTAAACCATAATATATTGTCAACTTTTTGATGAGACTCTCTGTTAGACGCTTTTTTCCTCCAAGCTTCTCTTCCTTCCTTTTATTTCGGAGTCGAGTACCCATGCGCTTTTGTACGTGTCCCACGCAGTCATTTTTTGTCACAGGGTAATCATCACCATATGGATTCAGTTTTACAATACCATTGAAAGTTTTCGAATCACCGTCGCCGATGTAATTCGTATACTTTACATTTTCAACAGATCTCAAGAACATCTCCAAGATTGAAACTACCTCCATCTTCCCTGCTGAACCATCGTGATTTGAAGAACATGATTCTTTATGATCATTATACCATTCTTCAAATTCTTCTTCGTCTAATATATTCTTTTGTAAAGCACATGAATGACAATATGCACTTTTTACAATAAGATCGACTACTTTGCCAGAGTAACATGCAATGAGCGTTGTAACACCAAACAATGAAGTAAAACCTCGTTTTTTCCAGGATCCATCGCCAGAAACTTTCAAACAGTCAGCAGATCTATCATGTTCTATATTTTTTTCTTTCTCTTCTTTGACAGCTTTTTCACAAACGCTTTTGAACATTGATTTTGACACTGTATATAAATGCTGCACAATTTGATCATACGTTGATTTTGCTAAACCTTGACATATATCCATAAGTCCACAAAACACATTAATACCTTCTCGTCCAACACCGAAAAGCCTCATAACAAAAACAATTTGTCTATTTATTTCGAATCCAGTGTTTATAAACGGTCCTGAATTTATTTCTCTATGACCACACATACACGATAATACAATTTTGAAACCTAAGCCTCGATGTCCGCTCTCTGAAAATGGTTTATTTTGTTTGCAATATCTGCAAATTACGATATCAGAAATTGCAAAAAATACTGTGACAAACTCGATTATTCGATAGCAGTGAGTTAGATGCACAATGATGTTCTCGGTGCTAGCGGTGGCTAATTTTCTCTCAGTACTACTTGTGTTGCACTCTGTATCGTCTGATTCTGTTGTGAATTGATTACCATGGAATTTTCGTTTCCGTGGTTTTGCAGCACGATTACTACTCAATTTGTCACTTTTCGGATAACTAGACAAGATTATATTGAACTAAACGTTACGCCACAAACAGCTCTATAGAAAACAGGTACACACAGATTATATACCGATGACACATACTAAGGTTCAAAAGACGCTTCTATGAAAGCAAAATATAATTTCGAACAACTGCTGAACCTTTTCAGGTATATAGTTTCGAGTTTAGAGACGAGGGGAGAAGCGAGCGCGTTTCAGTCTGACCGAGGACTGGCACTTGCTCGATGCCCCGCTGCGCTTAGTGCTGTATCTTCAGAAATATTGCAAATCCGATTCTATAACTTCGGATATATGTAAGAATATATAACATATATCTTATACATATATTCCTTATAAGTATAAGATATACATATAAGGAATAGATTTAAGCAATAAAAAAAAATCGATTTTTTGAACGTTCTAAAGCAGGATACCCCCTTAATCAATACACGAAATTCTTTTTCGTCCATTTTTTTACAACCACCCGATTTCTTTGATTGAATGCGAATGTAAAACGCAAAGTAATTGGCCGATCTGGCTAAAACTTGATGTGTGCTCTTCTAAGATATGCCACTAACTGAAAATAACCTTGATACGCACTAGTAGCGCCATCTCTCTGACTTTGCACGGACTTTTCAAACGACCCTCGTATATATAAAACAACCAAGAAACTGTCGTTTCATATTTATACAACATTCACATCTAAAAGAGAGAAATATTGCTTTGCGAAGCTAACACACGCAAAACGCCTAAAAGAACAATTTTACGTAACACACAAGGTACTCATACGGAGTTGATGTCAAGAATCGCAAATGAGAATGGCTGGGGAAATCAACACTTGTGTTAATGTCTATTAATCACCTGTTTGCAGTGGTCGCTTTTCTAGCTTTCTATGGCGGTAACAGATACTATTACCCCTAGTCGTTGAATCTGCCCCTGGTCACTTTCCTCTTCGCCTCACTGGCTCAGTGCACCACACTGTTTTTCTTTTTATTCTTTTTCGGAAGCTCGGCTCAGTTGTCGTGACTATTTTCCTGAGCTAATAAAAAATTTTACTCTCTTTTGTTTCTCATTTACTCCAACTTGCGGTGCGCGCCATTTTCGATAACCGCTCACACAGATACTATATAGTAATGCATTTGAACGCGAATCTCACGCTGCTACTGTCGACTGTTAGAATATCAAATAAAGCAAAAATATATGTTCTATATTTGAAAGTCTATTAAAAAAATAATTGTTTCACAACAATTTAACAGACGGTATGTCTTAAATAGAAACAATTTTGATTTATACATTCAACTAAAAACAATAATTTTAGATTTTTTCACAAAGATAAAAAATATCGCCATTAGCTTTGATTTCATGTAAACTCTAACCATATTCACTTCTATTATTTTTAGTTCAGATAAGCATTAATACATTTTTAGAGCATAGTAATGAGTCAAATAATTTTCATTTATTTCAGATTAGTTTTCACTTACAAATAAAAAAACTTGAAAAGGAAGTTCAGCAACTACTACAGTATAATAAAAATATTTTATTGTCACTGAAGAATCATACAAATTATGAAAGTAAGTTTATCACATCAATATTCATACAGTAAAAATCAATTTAATTTCATTCAATTTTTACTTTTGCAATCAAAGCAGTTTTATTTACAGAACTAAGTATTTTTAAAATATTGTATATCATGAGTGTGTGTGTTTGTATGCGTGTGTGTTTAATATATAGTAGAATAAGTATTTTACAAATACTTCTATTTCTGTACAGTTTTACTTCTTTAGTTTTATGAATAAAGTATGTATTTATAAAAGTTCAGTTACATAAGAATATTTATTCCCGTATTGATATTTGATAGCTCACTTACCCTTATTTTGCTTATAGCCATTTTCTTGGTATTCCGATTTTGGAGGAAAGAAATTAAATTTAGTTTATTCAGAAACATACGAAATTAGGAAATACAGGTCTGCCAACAAAACGTTGACTAATGTCTCATTGATCTCAATTTATTGCCTCCAAAAATCGAATACATACAAAATAACTACAAATATTTATTATTATGTAACAAAGTTGTCGCATCACCTACGTGCTTTGTCATCAATTCTTTAAAAGAAAGATAAGATAGGCGTTTTCACTCTTAATGATCAAAAGAGAGAGGAGGAAGGAAGATAGGTAATAAATGATTTCGCGCGCAAACTCTCGAAATTTGTCGTAAAATAATTATTAACATAAACCTTACAACAAAGATAACTCGCAAGACTTACTACTAATACAAATGATTCGTTCGGCTATCATCGGTGGCTGAAAAAAAGGTCACTAGTTAAATGCATATTCTCTATGCGCACGATGCTGGCTGACTACTATGTCATGTCGAGAGCAGGGGAAATTTGAGGGAAAGCAGACGAAGGGGAAGCAAACTGCTTGCTCCTGTCACATCCTCTCCGAAGGCTAAAGTTCGCTCTACGAATGTCCTGACTCTCTGCCTCTCATAGTTTCTCCCTCTCTCTCAACCGGCAAGTGGCAACCAACGCTAAACGCTTACTAAAATAATACCTGAACTACCATCTTAAATTATCTTCAATGAATACTTCATTCTATTTTATTAACAATCAAAATAAACTAAGAGTAAACCAATTACAACCTTTAAAGCCGAAAAAAAACATAAAAAAAATTTAATAATACGATTCGAAACATAAAATCAGATCGCTTTTCCCAGCCGAGGGAACAGTAACAGCGCGTCAAATTGCCATCGCTGATGACTCAAATTGAATACAAATGACAGAAGAAAGAATACACTTTACCATTTACTAATACCGCTCTAATGACTTTAAATATCGGAGCCTGAGCGCCTGAAGTTCTTCCGCCGACGGTGACGAGGCATTAGCTCCACAGAGTCGATGGCCAGCAGCGTTTGTCGCCTCAGAACCAACAACCCGAGAAGTCCCAACAACCGAAGTCCCTACGAATACCAGCGCGTCTTCTACTTGCGACGTGATTTCTACTCGCGACGCTCTACCTACAATGACCTCAACGCCGGATCCCCCAGGATGAACATTTGAGCTCGGCGCGCGAGTTTCTCGTGAACACGCCTTCTACATTCGTGCCTGGGCATTTTCGCCTTGGGCTCTCCGACAGAGGGTTCAAGGCATGTCACTCCTGGCACTGCCCGATTCCGTATCCTCTTTGCGGCTTGCCCCTCAAAAGTGTTACGGCAATGCGGGCAGTTGTGGACGGAGACGTCGAGTCGCCCATAGTTCCGGCTTACTGGTCGGGTAATAGGTGGTCCAGACCGTGCAGGAAAATTTCCCGAACCAGCCTCTCACCCAGCTCATCTGCCCAGGTTCTTATCTTGAAGGATAAAACCAAACTCACCGCCTGTGGAGACATGGCAGATTGTACCTGCAGCGGAATCGGCCGCTCAGGTATGATTGATTCTATTTTTTGCGCAGTTAGCCTTGTCCTAACTGCCACTCTCTAGTCTTCTGCCGTCGTCTCTTCGGCAGCGACGCCCGTTTCCCCTCCCAAGGTCTCGACTGTAACAGCTTCAGTAGACGTCGGCAATGCAAGAATACTCATTGCTTCTACAACGGTTGATAGGTTGAAACACATAGTGCTCTTCTTCCTATCCGTGTTCTGGCGGGTCTCGGCATCCTCTCTCCTTTTCTCCTTCGCATAATTTGCATAACAGCATTTCATAATGGCTTGAAAGGGAGAGGAGCATGTGGCTACAGAGTTACATGAGACAGCTTCTGAGCCGGCACTATCTCGTCTTCGGAGTTGCTCGAGCTCAACATCATCTCAAAATACCATTGATGGTGCTTAGCATCAAGGGACTCCAGCCTCCCCTCCCAATCATAGCACTCGTGATACAGTTCCTGTTAGCCGCTTTACCCGCGAAATATCCAGTTCCGGCGGGTCAAGAACCCGGCGATTTCTTGCCTTGGCAACTCGTTTCCACCAGCGGGAGGACAATCCTTTTCTTTGCGCCGAAAACCTTCAAGTTCTCCGCCGCTTTACGAAAGCTACGCTTCGACGCACTGCTTCGTCCCAAGTACAAGTCAGTGCAGCTAAAGGGATTATCGATCCTGGCTTCCTATGTCCAGTCAACGAACGGACCTCATACCTGTCACTTTGAAAGGGAAACGGTGGCGAAGGTAGCAGCAGCGGCAGGTTGACCCTTAGCCTGTTCGCACACAGCTTCAACCACAGATACCTCGACTAACTGTAAGGTACAGGAGGTGTCCTCAGAGGTCAACTGCCCTACGCTCAAAAGCGGAGCGGCGAGCCTCAGCACTTAGTTAACCTCCATATAACCCTTGCAGTATCCTGAAGGCGCATCGATGCCGCCGAAACATCTGAAGTGACCTGCGCCATAGCAAACTCGATTATGCAGCTTGACTCTCCGTCTGCTTAGCCATCATCATCTGACGTCGTTGGATCTTTTGAACTTTCAATAAAAATTACAAATGTCATTACACTTATTATACCTGATAAATCATGTTTTAACTTTACGCGGCGGTACGTAACGCTAAATTTTTAGTACATGCATCCTAGTGGTACGATGTTTACTGTCCGTTGTTAACTCATATAATCTCTGGCGAATTGCGATAATCTTAATTGGTCCATCATATTTCGGATCAAGTTTCGCGTTCCTACCTGCCACCGCGTTCGACAGCGTATGCACATTGCGACAAACCAAATCGCCTACAAGAAAGAGTGCCTGATGCCTACCTTTGTCGTAATGGTTCTTTTGCTTTTCCTATTCTTCGTCAATGTATCTAGCTATCAAGTCGCACAGCGCATTTAAACGTAACTAACTTTCTTCCCACACTTTCATATCTAGCTTGAATATTGGCGCTTTCACCTCAATTTCACGCCTTAAACTCTTTACCGGTCGCGGATCTAGCATAAAATCAAAAACGCAGACGAAATTTTTGTAGGCACCTGAGTCGCAGTGTTTCTGGCATGACGGTATTCATGCAAATGCCTGTACCAGCTCCTATGATCGGCATCATCGTTTTCAAAGTCCGATCGCTTTGTTGATGATACGCAGGGTAAAACAAGTGTTCAATACCGTATTCTTGTATCCTATCATGGAACACGTTACTTTTGTATTCTCGGGGATGCTTGTATATATTCAGGGATCACTCACCTAAAAAAAATTAAATCTTTGAGCGTCCGCCGACCGCAGCGGTTTTAATTCGACCTACTTAGTAAATAAGTTCCGAAATACCATCATGTATTTAAACCGATTCTTGCTATAGGGCAGTTCTATCACATCAATCGCTACCACTGTCCATAGTCTTTCTACTACCCGTTTACCCATTAGACTCTGCGGCGCTTGTTGAACTACCTTATACTCTTGACATTGAGGGCACTCATCTACGAACGTCTTCATATCATACAACCCTCCCGGCCAGTAATATTCACGATATATTTGATCGTAAGTCTTTTGCCGGTCAGCATTCAGAAAACAGTTCGCAATGAGCGTCTTTCAAAACCCTTTCTCTAAATTCAAGCGTACCATCATACGCAAACATTTCTCGCGAAATGTTATCGAGCAGGTAATCGCGCATATAGTGATACAGAACATTACGTTCTACTCTCAAATTCTCAAATTTCTAAGGTCTTTGGAGAACGTCTTTGATGCATAGAAGATACCATTTGTCCTGAATTTTATTAAACGCGCATACATCCAGCTCGTCCTCAAATTCTCGCGAAAATACATCCGGTACATGATATAGCTCTCCCAAAATTCGATTTCGCTATCCGTGTAATTTCGCTCGTGTGCACTTAGCATTCGACTGGCGTAACAAATTAGATGTTCACTATCGTTGAATATATGAACCAAATACGAGCCAACCGCGAAGGACGAGCCGTCGCAGTGCAAATAAAAGGAGCGCGCAAAATCAGGGCGCGATAATACCGTCGCCTCTGTTAATGTGTGCTTCAACCTTTCAAATACAATCTGCTGTTCCTCTTTCCACTCCCACGGCTGATTATCCAAATAAAATGTTGTAATCGTAATTTCATCTGTAAACTATAATTTGTAACGGGGTGGTTATCTCACAAAAATGAGAAATTTATTTAAGCACAAACTCCCACGATGCATAGCTAACCGCCACTCCGTTAAACACGTATAGTTATACGTGTATTCGCCTTTACGTTTGATGATTTCGTTTCAGTGTCTTCTTTCCAACCGAGTTGAACTCACCTTAAGTCACTTGACTTGTGACACTCGAACTTTCTTCAGTATGACTGACTTAATGTCTACTCCGCCTAATCCCCTAGACGAAATCGGATTATGACTTAAGCCTTTATAGATCTGTTAAGCTATTAGGAAACGAAATGACGTAAACGGCGAATAAAATTAACAAAGTTCAATCAATAAAAAACTACAAGTCTTTATGGGCCAAAAGACTAACGCACGAGATAGGATTCACAATTTTAAATTATAATTCGGTGAGAGAGAGAGAGAGAGAGAATTCGAAAATTGCCGCGAAATCTAACGCTCGGCGCGAATACAAAAAATACGATCAAGATTGACAAAATACTTTCGAAAGTATTTTGT